AGATATAAAGATGAACATTTAAAGCACATCTTTTTTGGAGGACTCAATTCAACCCATAAAACTACCTCTTGTTGTCAGCAAACATTTGGCTTTCAGCAAATAAGGACTGTGTTGATGTGGAGTCCGTGGATGAGGAGAAGATGGTGTTACCCAATGACTTCTGCTTCTTAGAACCACTGTGGGCCTGGTGGGGCACAGGGTGCAGGGCACGGGCCAGTTTCATGTACCTGACCACTGACTTGTAGCATGGAGGCAACAGGGATTGGTCTCATGAACTGTCACTCTCAGGAGGAAGTTCTTAGGCACAAGTTGGGTAACCCAGGCTGCCAGAAGTGCAATTCTTAACCAGTTCTGAAATGTTTTATGTACACACAGCCACTTCCTTCCTTCCTTCCTTCACTCAAATAGAAGGAAATGGGAACTATACATTTAGAAAATAAAGTCATTGTACAAAGAGAGCACATCACCCATGGACTATTGTTTAGGTATTTTTCTGTTTGGTCTTTCCCAGTTATTTACAAAAGCCCATTGATCACTTATTATAGTCCAGATACTGGGAATACAGTCCCAGAAGAGACGTGTTAATGTTTCCTCGTTCAAAAGTTTTCTCCATAGTGAGGAGGTGGGGATGGGGAATAAACAGCTAGTATGTAACAAACCCTAGTGGCACTGTAAGCCAAGCATTGGGCTGCTAACTGCAAGGTCAATAGTTCAAAAATCACTGGCTAATCCTTGAAAGATAAGGCTTTCTTCTGTAAAGATTTACAGTTATAGAAACCATCAGGAACAGTACTACTCTGCTAGATAGGGCCAATATGAGTCAGAATTGACTTGAAGAGGGCATATGAGAGCGATGTGAAAAAGCAAAATAGGTTGTACAGACTAAGTTGTGTAGTTAGTGTGGTGACTATCTAGGCGACAGAAAAGATCTCTTTGGAATATTGGAAGAGATGGATCCATGTGGATATTTGGGAGAAGTATATTCCAGACAGAGGGAGAAGCAGTGCAAAATCGCCAAGACAGTGAGAGGGCAATTGACTGTAGCAGAATCCGTTAGGGGAGAATAGTCTGGATATAATGGACTAGCTCAAGTAGAGCGGTACTTCTCAAGTTTGAATATGCACAGCTCCCATAAATACTCGGTAAACTGAATTCTGTAAGGACAATGACGATCTGGGTTGGGCCTGAGAGACTGTGTTTATGGGGAAACTCCCCTGATGCTGATTCTGCTTTATTGATTACACTTTGGGGAACAAGAGTGCAGTCAATGGAATGTTTTTGTTGACTAGGGTAAGATACGAGGGGGTAAGCCCCCCAAACTGAAATTGCGTTGGGTGGAGTGGAGCTTTCACAGTCTGCATTTTTCCAGCTAGGTGAGCATTGAACAACTCCCTCAGATAGTGCACCCAGTGGCGTCACCTGGGAAGGTTCTCTCTGGTCACAGTAACATTTTCCTAAAAGCAGTTTTGCCTGTACCTCATTTTTTATGATGGCTGTTTTAGGAGAACAGTATGCAGCTGTGAAATTTTGTTTCCTACTTGGGAAAAGTGTGCAGACACTGTTGTAATGTTGAACACAGCTTATAAGGACAGCACTATGGGAAAAACTCATGTGTATGAGTGATTTTCTTGTTTCAAAAAGGGTGGAAAGTTGATGAGAAACCTTGTTCTAAAGGTATGTCAACTTCCCAAATGGACAAAAATGTCAACTCATCCTGTATTTGGAGTTCATTCCAACAGGTCAGACAATTAATCAAGCTTTCTATTTAGAGGTTCTGAAAAGATTGCATGACAGTATGCCACAAAAAAGGCCTGACTTATGGCAGACAGGGGACTGGTTTTGCCACCACAACAATGTACCTGCTCATGCAGCCTTCTCAGTGTGCCAGTTTTTTGAAAAAAAACGTGCCTCTCTTGCTCCTTGCACCTTACTCACCTGATGTAGCTCCATGAGACTTTTTGTTTCTATGAATGCAAAGGGACATAAAAGGACAGTGATTTGATGTAGAAGAGATGAAGAAAAAAATGAGGGAGGTGCTGTCAACCATCCAAACATATGTTTGAAAAATTTTTCCAAGAATGGAATTGCAGATTTGAAAAAATGTAATGGAGAGTACTTTGAGGGTGATAAGGTTATTTTTTAAGAAAAAAAATTAAATACATAGCTTTGAAAAAAAAATTCCATTTGGGCGGGGAGTACCCCATCATATGACTCACTTTGTGGGTCCTGAGTGGTCTTTGGAATACCTTAAATTACAGGGCAACTTGATCTGTTCTTTTCTTAAAGAATTGCATTGACTGATTCGGGGGTTAGTTAATATTAGGCAAGGGTGGAAACAATAATATACAAGAGAAGGGTGTGATTCGGGCAAGAGGGTCATGAGGAGCAGCAGCAATCAGATGCTGTAGTGATTTTGAAGGGGAGCTATCAGATGACATGTGGAGTGTGAAAGAGAGGAAGCTAGAATGACAAGGTTTTAAATTGGAACAAGAAATTATCATTTGTTTACTGACATGGGTGGACTGCAGAAGGACCTGTATCTAAGAGCAGAATCTTTGGCACCTGTTTGGCACCTGGTTCAGGTGTGAATCAGGTCTTTGGAAACAGGACTGAAATTTAGAGAGAAGAGCAAGCCTGGAGGGCCAGAGGTGGGTAGAGAGCCCTTGCCTGTGAGTAGGAGAGACAGAGGTTTGTGAAGAGAGCTTAAGATCCTCCAAAACTTTAAGGGCAGGGGAAGTAGGATCAGCTGTGAAGGGCTTGGAAATAGTAGCCAAGGTATAGAAGAGGAACCATGAATTTGTGGTCACAAGTGTAATAGTTACCTATTGCTTTGTAACAAACCACCCCAAACTGAGTGATTTACAATGAAAATGAAAATTTCTCATGATCTTGTTAATTAGCTTAGCAGTTCTTGTGTACCATTTGGTCTTGCCTGGGGTCCCTCCTTTGGTTGCCTTCCCTGGAGTCTACTGTCTGGGAGCAGACCTGGCTGCCAGGCAGATAGCTTGGCTATGTTCTCCGCAAGAAGCCAAATGAGTTCTTACCACTGGAGCAGAAGCTGGTACTGCCAGATCTCATAAGGCCTAGACCTGGATTAGCACCACTCCATTCTGTGACATTATGTTGGTCAGGGTAATAAGGCTAATCCAGACTCAAATACAGATTGCCGCCAGTATATAGGAGCACAAAGGTGTGCTCCGTAATTACAATTTTATATACTCTATCAGAAATGGCAAACTAGACTTGAGTGGTGTAGCAGATGCTGACTGGGGAGTTGGGAGTACTGAGTGCTCGTCCTGCTCTTTCAAATACAACCCTGTGCTCTTCAGGAAATTCTCTTATTTTTTAGGGTCTCCGTTGCGTTATAGTTCCACAAGGGGATTGGGCTAGATGACTTTTGAACTAAGTGGAGAAATGCAGGTGAGATGTTCACCAAGTGACAGCTGTGACCTTTGTGTTTGCAGCCCTGAAAGGCATTCAGTTAGGGTCATTCAACCCTGATGGTCATTCAGGCTTCTCTGAATGACATCTCCCCTCACAAGTTTTCACAACTTACAGAAAGGAATTTTCCCCAAGCCCAAAGATTTCAGCATACAATCCCTCCCCACCCTGCCCCCCAATCCTCCAATCCTTGCGTTTACCTTGTTCTTTAGAGGTTCCTTCTTGGGCATTGAGCTATGTAAGACTCTGATTGATATTCCTTCCCCATGAGTGGGATTATACAGTCATCTTTGCTAGTGGTTCCCCTTACCCCCTTTCCCCATACCCCCAGGGATTGTTGCTCCCATTACTATTTCTGATGGGTTTACCTAATTTGGATTTCATGCATCAGCTGATTTACATTATGTAAATGAATATAGGCATGGCTAACAAGATTAATGAGGTAAAATTGGACTATAATAGCAAGAGGAGGAAATATTAATGAACTAGAGGATACTTATGGCAATAATAATAATTATTATTACTTATAAGAATAAGGTTCCTGGAGGGCAGGGTGGGGAGGGAGGGGATAAAAGGGAGCTGATATCAAAGAGTTCAAGAAGAAAATGTTTTGAAAACGGTGGCAGTAATTTTACAACTATGCTTGATTTAATTGAATTATGGATTGTTATAATATCTGTAAGAGCTCCCAATAAAATGATTTTTTTAAAAGTACCTGATTAAGACAAGTTTTCTATGATTTTCCTTCTATCTATCCTGGCTTGATAATAAATGCACAGTCACCTCCACATATCCAGCTTCCTGTGTGCAGGTTCTAGGCTGGGTGTTTTAGAAACATCATCTCTCTTACTCTTCACTGTAGGTTTTATAAGGGAGGTGTACCCCCATTTCCTATTAGAGGAAACAGAGGCACGGGAAGTTAAGGAACTTAAGAGAGTAAGTACAAATAGTAGAGCCAGGGTTTGAATCCCAGCCAAGAGATGCTGAAGAACTTGGAGAAAATTCCCCTCAAGTCAAATCATCCGCAATTCCTAGGAGCTGTACTTTTCTGTCGCATTTTTTTCCGTAGGCAAGAGTGACCCCAAGTTCCAACCCACGGGGTTGAGATATGGGTGACTGAAACAGGATCAGCCCAGGAATCCCATGGGATCTCGTTTGTTAGGGTAGGCCAGCTTCTGGGAGGTTGAATCCACCGATATGCTTTGCTCTACCTGGTCTGTGACACGCCTGTCCCCAGCTTCAGTTGCTCCCTGGGGCAGCAGCCCCACTCCCTGGGACTCCCCAGAAGAGCTCAGAAACTGAAACCAAAACAGTTGCGCGCCCAGAGTCAGTCCCGGGGCGCAGACTGGGTGGGCCCCCTGCAGGCTTGTGCTGCCAGACTCCATCCCGCTCGGGCGTCCCTGGGGCCCCTCCCCAGGCTCTGGGCGTTTCGGGGCGAAGAGCCGCGACAGCGGGCAGCAGTTTCAGACTCGCGGAGGCCCGGAGGGCGGAGACTGGGCGGTCCCGCGGAGACCGAGGGGCGCACTCGGCTCGCCCAGTCTCTGTCGGTCTGCAAACCGGGGGCAGAGGGGACCTGATGGCGGCCGGGAGCCTAGGCCGTGGCCTCGGGCGGTTCCTTGGCAGCCTTCGAGGGCGCCTAGGGCAAGCGGCTGGGTGGCCGAGCGGGGCGAACGTTACCAGCAGGCGGTCCTCGGGGAGCTCGGGCGGCGCCCCCGCCTCGGTCGCTGCGCAGCCCGGTTCGTACTCCGCTCTGAGTGCGCAGGCGGCTCGGGAGCCGGACGCCTTCTGGGGACCGCTAGCGCAGGACACGCTGGTATGGGACACCCCTTACCACACGGTGTGGGACTGCGACTTCAGCAGTGGCAAGATTGGCTGGTTCCTGGGAGGCCAGCTAAACGTGTCTGGTAAGGAAGCTGGGGGAGACCCAGGGCGCGCCCAACTCAAGTGTCCCAAGGGGCCCAAGGCTTCCCACTGTCACCAGCAGTTGCCTCACCCTCTATAAGACAGGTGCCATATCAGCCCGCGACGCAGAGCCCATCCCTGAGTTCGCTGTCCCCCCACTAACACCCCTCCCACCCCCACCCCCCATCCATGTATCCAGTTAGGGCTGAACTCAGCCGCTGGCTTTGCGGCCTCAGGCGACTCCTCTGTAGGTTGACTACAAAGTTTAACGACGGTTTTGGTTCCAGGTTCCAGGTTCCAAGCGCGACAGTTGGGCCAAACTGAGGTGGAGGGAGCCAGGCGTTCCGGGGTTGGGTCTCCCCGCTCTAGTCCCACACCGGCAAAAGCAGCTTCGTCTAGCTGGAGAGCAGTGCACCGTGTGCAGTTGCTGTTTGGGGCTAAATCCTATCTAAGTAAACAAGCTGAGCTGTAGCCAGTGACCCTGAGCTGAGAAAAGTGTAGCCCAGCAGCCAGTCTCTCACTGCCTGGGCCGTGGGTGGGAAGGAAGACAGGCTCAGGGCCTCCCAATCCCAGAAAGCAAACTGCATTGTTCAGTCGCATATGCTAAGCCTGAATGCATGTCTGTTAAGATTTGGGGTGGACTCTAAGGCACTACCTAGGTAGCAAGGGGAGAGGGCCCAGAACAAGGGTGGTGAGTTGTTTGGAGGGGAGTGGCACTGGGGAAGCTGGGATATAGGCCAGGCCTTGTGGTGGGAGTGGCTGAGCTGTCCAGGAGAACTGGGTTCGAGTTAAGTGGGGTGTGCTGGAGGAAAGGCTAATGTCCTGGCCAAGACCAGCATTCAAGGGGATAAATCTGGCTTTTCACCCAACCACACCACTTCCTGACTGAGTTATTCTACCCCTAGCCTCCGTTTCCTCATGGGTAAAATGGGGATGATAATGTCAGCTCCCTATGTTAGTTATAAAGATGGAATGCTATAAGGTGTCTAACAGATCTAGTCCAGATTCTAGTACTTCTTGGCACTCAGTAAAAGAAAACTTTTATAATTTTATTACATTCAAAATAGCCATAACATTATGTGGTGCCTTGCAATTATTTTTCAAACAATTAAACTTAAGGAAACTTTAACCAGATTTTTTTGTAGTGTCTATTGCTTTGCTGGCTTACTCAAAATGAGTCACTTATTAGATAAGTCAGCAGCAAGCGCCCTTGAAATGAAGTTTGCAGAACTGGTGGAACATGTCCTTGAAGAGGAAGAGAGCAATATATAGAAGGAGCCAGGCAGAAAGTATGCAGCCTTTAGCAAGTGTCCCAACTTGGAGACACAGGGCCTCATGGCAACCCCTGATTAACTTGTGGGCAGTTGCATTTTCTCCCTCTCAGATAAGACTCCGGAGGAAACTCTGAGGCAGATAGCAAGGAATGGGAGCCTCTTCTGGCAGGGCCTGGGTGTGGTCAGTAAGCAAGGTTTCTGCCTCTCTTCCTTCACTTCTTCTCTCCAAATCTGTTGCCTGTACCTAGGGCAGAAATGAAATGTCAGAAAACTAACTTGTAGAAAATTAGGGGTTTTTTTAAGCAATGATCTCACCTCAAATGTTGTGTCCATTCCCATTTATCTGGCCAGGCATATCTCTGTTCTTTACCAGTGTCTAAGAACACTGAGGTATCAGTCCAGATCACCATTGTTCTAGAAAGTTCTAGAAAGAGTATGGATATGCTGGTCTGATACATGTTTTCTTGGCTAATAAGGTCACTGAGGGTTGTTCCAAGGGAGCATTACTCGTACAACTTTCAATATGTCTCAGGAATATCTGCACCAAGGGTTCTCCCTTTATAGTTGGTGCCTGGGTTAGAATTGGTTTGGAAGGACTTGAAGGCTGAGTTCAGCTAGAGCCAGAACACCTGCAGAAGGCTTCATCATGAACTTTGGCATGGCTGGAGAGGAAAGGTCCAAGAGCCCCAGGCAGATGCTGTCAGGCTTTTTTTTTCTTCAATTCTCCCTACTTGACTTAACCTGATATTTAATAGGTTACCTGATCTAGGTTACCTGATCTGTTGCCATCAGTTTCCTTACCAATGAAAGTGTCAATACACCTGCTTGCAGGGCTGTTGCTCATAAAACACCCAGGGCTATCCCTAGCGCATTAGAGCACCCAGTAACTGGTCATTGCTATTTATTAATGAGGCATGGGGTGGGAGTGCTGTGACCTCTCCGTGTGGCTTCCAGCATAGCTGAGACTCCATAGGTCTGTATCTCAGGAACTTGGAGGAGGTAGGACCCTGGTTGTTAGAGGGCAGTGCTGATTGCCTAAATAGCCCTTGAAGCACTACGGTATTTGCTCATCCCATGGTCTGGCAAGGCCAGGCAGAAAGATAGGTTGGTGATGTTAAAGTTAGAGGCTAGTCATAGTGCGGTCTAGGAGCCACTGGGCTGTCGGGCAGAGTCTCTACCCTCTTCAGTGATTTGCCTCTATTTAGTTTAAAATTTCTTTGCAGGAGGTTCATTGAAAAACCCAGTTCTAAAATCCATTCTTTCCAGTCTTTGAAGTTTGGCCCTGTCTTTTGTGAGACTCAACAGATGTTTCTACTCTGTGGTATGTTAACTCAAGATGTCAGGAAGCCTCGTGTGTAGAACCCAAGAGTCATGACAGGTCCTGCTTTCAAAACACATAACTAAGCTGTGTGTTTTGTCCCCGCAATTCTGAGTCATTCTGATTTTTTTAAAAGTATATTTCTACATTCAGGGAAGGGAGCAGAGAAACTATTTGAAAATAAACCGAATGTTTAAGTCCATGGGATTGCTTACATGCTTTTTGGATGTGAATTTTTGAGAACAGGAATATTTTACTACAGTGGTCTTTTTTTTTTACTGACATGTCTCATGAGATTCAAGAGGCAGATCTATATTTAGATGCCAAGACCCCACACTTACCTGTTTGGTTTTTACCCTCCTGATCATAAGTAATTTGTCTGTTTTTTCAAGAAATCTAAATGAATGTGCATTTCATATCTCGAAAGAAGCGTCCGCTAGCAGCTTTGTCCTCTTCCTCCTCCCTAGTTGCCACAGGCATGGCTTACTTTAAATAGCAGATGCTTCTGGAAAGGTGACAAATTTTTGTGACTGATGTAGTTCTTTAAATCTGCTGAGGTTTTCTATTTATAGAAAACCCATTGTGAATCTGTGTTAACTCCCATTTGTCTTGATTAAAAGTAAATTTCTATATATTTTTATACAGTTGTTGGTAAGGGAAGGAGGAGGGCATTTAAACACCTGACAGCCGTTCTCGAAAATTTCTGCATGAATTTGGGTCACTTTCATAATAAAAATTGTAACACTTTAAAATGTGCTCTTAAAAAAAGAACAAAAACAATCTCCAAACTCATGAGTTGCCCACAGGTATTTTCTGAAAGGCATGCCAGCTCAGGTTTGGGGATTGAGGAGAACAGAGGCTAAGTGAACATTTTTGGAGCCTCGTAGTGAAAAACCCATGGCATTGCCTTCGCAGTTCTAGCTTTGTCTGACCCTCACATACCAAAATGAATGGGTGGTGGTCCTATTGTACAGATTTGGAAATAAAGACTCCAACTCATGCTGAATGGGGAACAATTCAGCCCAACAACAAAAAGGCCCAAATTCCAGATAGCACTTATTCTAATGTGGAGATGAAGAGTCACATAGTAAACAGAGTTACAAGGGTAACTGGCTAAGAAGTGTGTTAGGATGTTGCTCCCACCCCCTTGAGAAATGACTGTTAGGGACATAGTCCTTGCTTTCAAAGGGTTACAGTAAATTAGCAGACAAACATTCACATGTATAACATGCTAAGAGGAGAATTAGCATGTAGCTTCCACTCCCCTGAGGAAGGAATGTTAGGGATACAGTGTGTGCTCAGAGAATTGGAACAACTTGATTGTGTTCCAGAACCACTGGGCAGGGTAGGCAAATATTAAATGATGTGAGCCGTGACTAAGGCTACATGTGCTTGGATTGATGAAAAGGGAGAGATGGGTTGAATGCTGGGAGATTTGAAAAATGAAAATGATTGAACTAGGAGTTGGGGATTGAAATGAACCTTCATGAAATTGCCCAATTAACTTAGTTCTTTGCCCAGCTCTTCTTGGAAATGCTTAGAGATGGGATTTTCTTGTCTCACTGCCCAGTGCTTTGAGTGGAGTTTATTTTTTTCAACATGGACAAGAACATTTTACCATTCCTTCCCTCCCTCTGTCCTTTCTTTTTCTTTCTCTTCCTGCAGCTGAAGTCGAAGCAGGAGGGGGAGCCAATAAATAAGGGCCAGCACATGCATGGCATTTCAGCCCACTGAAATCCCGTCCTGTGTTTTCAGTTCAGCTATGAACAACAAAGGATCATTGTGTTTTTGTTCTTCCAGGGAAATGGATGCAAATCCATCTGACCCATGTCAGGAAACACTCATTTACAGCCTAATTCTTTCAGGCAGCTTCATACCCATTATGTAGATTTAGAAACTGAGACTCAGATGAAACCATAAGCCTCGTGTCTATAGTAACGGAGTAGTTGAACAGGGGTTGACTCTAGACCATAGGTTTTTACCTATGTGTGTGTGATAGCTTACATAACAAGCAAGTGTCCCATTCACTGTCAGTGTGTATATGGATGTATGCACACTGCCTGTCATAAAGAAATGGAAATTCTCAGACTCACCCACATGTGGTCATGTGTTCACAGCCTCTCAGGGGGACTTTGATGCCACATGAGATTGAGTAGAGCTGATTTAGACCAATAAACAAACCAAAAAACCCCTGCATACATGCTAGAGTGGACACAGCTCATGATGCATCGCAGTAAAGGGAGGTGCACCAGTAAGAGAAGGTAGAAAGGGGGTGTCTTCTCTGAGGGAGTAGCATAGGGGCTGAGGCCCACAGAATGGCAGCACAACATGAGAAGGGAGAAACAGTACTCCACATTGGGGGAGACAGGCAGACAGGATCTAGGCAGGACTTGGTGACTGAAGGGTGGCC